GTTGGTTCACACACACTGCAGCACTCCAGAGTTGAAAAGAGAATGGAAGAAAAATACCTACAAACGGTTTTCAAAAAGAATGGCTATCTACAAAATTTCATCAAAAAGTGTTTAAAATCGAATCACAACACAAACAAGGATCCATCATCAAAGACCGCAAGGAAATTCATACTACCATACATTAAAAATACCTCTGAAATAGCAGCTAGAATACTGAAACCGTTTGATATAGATGTAGCACACAAACCAGTCAAATCGCTTAATTCGATATTATGCAAACCGAAAGATCCAACAGAAAAAAGGGATAAAATTAATACCATTTACAAAATAAATTATATGAACTGTAACAGGCATTACATCGGCCAAAGTGGGCGTCCTCTTCGAATTAGAATCCAAGAACACAAATCAGCTGTGAAAAGACATGATATAAATTCTTTAGTATCAATATATACGGACAATTATGGACATCAATTTGATTGGGATAATGTCGAAATCTTAGACAGAGGAAACACCAAAACTGCAGTCAGGGAATTCCTAGAAGCCTGGCACTCAAATGAATCAGCCAGTGATTAATAAACACGTTAATATAGACCAAATATTTCAACTAATATAAAGTAAATCAGGTGACCAGAAAGTTTAAAATCCAAGCCGATAGAAAATGGTCAATACACATGTAAAGATGGTTACCGGGAGACGCAATTATATCACTCCTGAAGAAATTTAAATCATTTCACTTTATCCTAAGTACTGCGCTGAAGATGTTGTGCAGAAGGGGGACGATGAAAGCTCCGCAACTAAACTAACCAGCTCAGAGAATACTATTAATTGCAAATCATCCACTTGAGCTACAAATCTTCTCTATTCTTTCATAATCTGAAGTATATCGAATGACGTAGCGTTCTCACACATGTGGACAGAACCAATTCTGTAAATTTTTTCATTCGTTGAAGAATGGTATAACAATTATTTGCAGGTTCATTCAATAAGGGTGCGAGTTCATGCAGTGATTACTAATATAATTGGATGATTAAAACAACGAGAAATGCAGAAGAATTTAAGCATTTTGATAAATGGAAATTCCCGTACCCCAGTGATTTAAGCAAGTCACCGTGCTTGGGGATAACTCATAGAATTGGAATACAGATAACCACACATACACCCACACACACATTAAACAACATACATTTTGTTATTATTACATGTTTGAGAATAATCAAAAGAGTTAGCATACCGCATATTAATGCATCACATGTTACTGTGTATAGAAGTGGAAGTAGTTTCATATACAAAACAGTACGACTTTTGTTTGATGAATAAATTCGATGTGTGTGACCGTATAATATTTCTTACTTTGATATTATTATTTTATTATTGTTCCCTTGAGTTCCTAGTGGAATATAGGGCTTCAACTGAACGTCACCACTTGCTTCTGTCTTCTGCTGTAGTTTTCACCTGCATCCATGTTAGTCCATTCTGTTTCAACTCCTCTTCACACGATCTCCTTCATGTCACCCTTGCACTGACGTCCCACTCGCCGCTTCCCTTTCCGGTTCCAATCGCTTAACGACTTGACGCGTGCGCGATGTCATCCAGTGGCCTCCTCAGCCACGAGTGTCCAATCCATCTCCACTTTCTCCTGCATATTTGTTGGTTGGCGATTGGTCCTTGTTTTGTTTGTTTGTTCCCATAGTTTCTCGTTGGTGATTCTTTCCGGCCGGCCATCTGACCTTCAGTATAGAGCCAGCGAAGACAGTTGTTGGTTGATAAAGGTCTGCAACAGGCTGTTGGAAATATTCTTTGTGACCCGCTCGCCAAGTATCTGATCCGTATAGAAGAACTGGCTGACTTGACGTTTGTATTGAAAATCCAACCGAATTTTGTTGTTGATGCTGAGTGACGAAGATTTCTAGATTTGTTCTAGGTTGATGAATGTGTTTCTCAACTTCCAGATTCTCTCTCGCTTTGACATCCTCGTCCATTCCGACTGCTTGTAGTTGAGACAATGCTCCCTAGTTGATAAGTGAATGAAGTAACCTCTTTCAAATACCTCCTGTTGATGGTGATTGGCGCTGGATGTTGCTGCTGTTGTTGTTGGTTGATTGGTTGGTTATTTTCATACCCTCCGTCTTGTCTATGTTCACTTGGAGTCCTGTCTTCGCCGGCTGCTTCTTCGACCAGTTTGTCGGTTTTCGCTTGTAAGCCTTCAATTTTGTGTGACGTCAAACATACATCAAACAAACGCGCGAAATCCAGGTCTTACTTTGATAACTGATTATTTATTTCATTACAGAGACTTAACTGAATTGTGATCCATTATTATGTTCATCTATCACGCTACTCCCCTTCATTTTACTTATCTGAACTTGACCTGTAAGACCGTTCACCTTTCATTTTGCTATAGTTGGATAATTCTAGTTTATTCACCCTTCACATATCTCCTCACATAATTCTTATAGTAATATATACATAACACTGTCTGTAGAGTATTCAGCTGAGAAATTTGACTCAAATATGATGAATTCATGAAGGTCTATTTTATTGGCATTTTTCGTTTGTCTTAGAATCTTCCTGCCTAAATTTCAGGTAAAAATTGCCTACCGACTAGGAGAAACACATTTCTCCTAAACACTATTTTAGGAATATACGATGTAGTGTGTACATTTAGTATTGGGAATGGGGTTTTCCCCTTAATGATGTTTAGAAATTCATTGACTGGAATAACTTTGAAATTTGCCGAGAGTCAAAAATACACATTCCATAGAATCTTCCAACTTTAAAATGGTGGATGGTGATTAGCAGCAGAAGTCAGGATAACTCATATTTCGTCCTATGTGGAACCCGTCAGTTGGATGTACCTGATAATGTTCCCACCGAGGTTCAAACCCAGGGCCCATAGTTTCTAACTACATGTCCAGACATCTTCGAAGCATCTGCACAAGGAGACAACATGTCATCCTGAGACCTAGCACTTCAACCCAATCAGCCATCGGGAAAATCTAAAATTCACTTCAATAATTAATATGACCCGTCACACAAGAGGTGGATCCCGTGACCCAAGTGGTCTAGTTGGGTAGAGCTTTGGCGTTTGAAACTATGGGCACTGCGTTCGAGCCTCCGTGGAGAAATCATCACTCACTGGAGAAGGTAGGTACATCCAGTTGACGAGTTCGGAATCAAATAGGACAAAATATGCGTTGTTCTGGATTCCACTGTTAGTCATCATCCATCAATTAGCTACTGATTACATGCGCAGACATCGTGGAACCATCTACAGAATGAGCCGACATGTCAACCTAAGACTGAGCATTTTATTCCAATCTTCTAACTGTTCTTCTAAATTTTTATCATTTTTCGATGTAAAGTTAGGTGTATTTTCTGGTATCTGTCATTAAATTTGTCAAGTTTCAAGAAATTAGGCTGACGAAATCTTTTCATGATGAAAAAAAGTTTATTCACATAGTTCATATTATGGTACTTTGATGCGGGAAATCTTGAAGTTGTACCATGTATCATTCAAAAGTTTCTGGAAGGTCATTTTTTTGAGATGACTAGGACACGTGTTAAACCACCACGGCCTTCGACAGATTCTACTGGTTGACATAGGATCTGGTTGAAAAATACTTAGAAGCATTTGAACCAAATCCTGGCATCAGTACATAAAGTGTTTATCAGTTGGTTTGAGCCATGTAGGGAGATGTGCACTATCTCGTTGGAGTCGTCGAAGTTCTAAACACCAATGGCTTGAGACTGTTGTTGTTGTCAACTCAAAGTTGTCTTTGTTGCCACAGACAGACTCATTGTTTGTAATTTCTTAGATTAATTAAATCCTCTTCTACTTCCAGGTTGCTACTTTTTTTTCCGGTACATTTTTACATATTGAAAGACCCTGTGGAACCAATTAAAAGAAATAATAATATAATTTACAAAATACCCTGCAATGACTGTAAGGTCAACTAGTAGATCGAGGGTAATTTTTTAAATATTTTAATTACAGCTTCATTCCACACTGTATTTTTGGTACAAGTATGGAATTTTCAGCATGTGATATGGGTAGACCAAATTTTGCAGGTAGACCATAGATATCAGGCGTGCGTCGGCAGGGCATCGAACCCCGGACCACTTGCATGCTCGGCGAGAGTCCTAACCACTGTGCCACCGACGCAGATTGTCGGGACATAAGAATTTAGCTAAGGTAAGAATGGTTGACCCCGAGAAGATGAATAATTTAGAAGAAGGCTCAACAATTGCACTGCATGGATTAACACACAACCATACAATAGGGTGGGAGAGGGTTAAGATTCTAAGAAGTAATCTATGCAGGTGGAGAGAGAGATTGATTACTGAATCCTTTTTCATCCAGTCTACACCCAACACATGCAACAGAAATGACTCAATGCAAATACCAGAAATATGGAAGATATTATCACCGCCAGTCAGTCAAATCAGAAGAGGATAGTAAATATTCTCAAAATTCTATTTCAACTCAAGCACATCAAAACATTCTAACAAGTTACTTATTATGACTATGAAAACACTCGTCTTATCTCCCATCTGATTGTATTTGATCAATAACACTCATATTATTATTATTTCTGAATGTACATTATCCCATATTGAATTTTGTTCCAATATCTAATCGATTCCAGTCATGTATATAAATGAAGAAAAAATGTTGTGTGGGTAACTACTTTATACGATTTTGAGTGGCAATAGTTTGTGCTCGAAACGTGGTCATCAGTTAACATTACACTATGTGACTTTATCAAAATAAAATCTTATCCTTAATGGAGTTTTATTGCCGTTCTTTTTCAATTTGTTTCTTTCCTCTATTGTGTTGGCTAAATTTAGTGTAACAACTTGGATACATTTCTAAACTGAAAGTTAACCAAAGTGAGGCAAGAACAATTCACCTGTGAATTCTTTAGGATTCCTTAAGATTAATATTGTAAATTTATCTATTTTTTTCTCTCTTCTTTTTCCTCGTCAATATCTTCCATAAGGATGAACAACATGATCTTCAAACAGTGACCATTGGAGTCTCCTTCATAGGGATAAGTCTGTTTCGAGAAAATAAACTTCTTCAACAGTATTCTTGGTAAGTATTTTAAACTTTACAACTTGGATTTATGAATTACTTTATGTGTGTATGACTCATCTATCGAAAATATGATGCAAGGTATTTGAGTTGATGGTGGCTAGCAGCATTAGAATCCTGGATGGGACTGGTCAGATGAATGTGCCTGCATTCCAAATGAGTGATGTTGTTCTAAATAAGAGACTCGAACCGTGTGTGCATTGTTTCAAACGAAAAAAATGTGCCAATTCTTGTTATCATCACCGTGGAAAACATCACGTCAACCCTTAGATTAGATATCATCGAAGCGTCCTTGCTAGGAGTCAGCATTTTAACAGAGACTGTGCATTTTCGTCTAACAAAACGAATTAACGGAAATGCAGAATTAATTTAAACAAATATATAATTATTTGAGGTAATTGTTCTGAAGGAAGGAACTTTAGGCTAGTGGATAAAATTTTATGAAAGATAATGAGGTAAATTGAAGAAATGCATAGCTATAGAAGTTTAGTACTTTTTTAGGGGTTAAGATGTTGATTACTGCATTAACGTCCTTGTACGGGACTTAATAGAGACCTTGGTAACCGAACAAAATATCAGAATAAAAATCCACCTTAATGAAATAATCGTGTAACAGTGTATTATGAAAAAAATACAGTTAACGAGTTTGTATATATGATATCAGATGGTTGGAGGCAATCGGCTATAGAAAGACTTGCCTGACGTAGGTAGGCTTCGCGCTAGTTGCCACTGGTCAGGAGGTCCATTGCTATCCTTATCAGCTCAGTGGTAACGTCTCTTACTGCAGCACTGTGTGATGCGGGTTCGAATCTCATATGGAATATGAGTTCCTATGAGGTTGCAGATACGCAGATATGAAACTTAAGTCCAAGGCTTCCTATTGCCGATTGCCTCCAACAGGCTAATATTATCAAATCAATGTGGACCGTGATGGTGAGCTACCTAGAATGGTGGCCACATTGCAACCTGACTGATAGAATTCAGTCTGCACCAAACACCGAGGACTAGACACATCGCACTAGTTACTAGTGTCCAGTCAGAGTTATATACACATTAATGGTTACTTGGTGATAAAGTCTTCTGTGCGTCGGTGGCACAGTGGTTAGGACTCTAGCCGACCATGCACATGGTCCGGGGTTCGAGCCCACGCCGGCGCACACCTGATATCTATGGTCGGCCTGCGAAATTTGGGCTACCGATATCCATGCTGAAAATTCCATACTTGAACCAAAAGTACAGTGTGGAATCAAGCTGTAAATCAAAAAAATAATAATAAAATCCACAGAAACGTTCACTGCTGAGGTCGTAGAAGCTGTGCACCGGTTGTAGAATAGCCTTGGGATGAGGATGAGAGGTTCCTTCAAAAATCCAAAGGATACAACATAGTTAGTAGTGAAGCAAGTAGATAGTATGTACCAGTAAGAAGACGAATCGAAAAGCAGCACACTCTACTTTTTGATTGTACTCCAAAGTTTTGGATGTTTTTATAATGAATCGTTTTAAACAAAGTGTTGTATACAATGTTTCCGTTTTTTTAAAAACTAACAAAAAAAACTGTACAATCATATCGTTCCAGACTCCATACCTTTTAGACTTTCTAGTGGACTTCTGTCACCAAGTTGAATTGATTAACTTGTAAATTTCCACGATCATTCATCTTTTTTATATTTTTACTTTTATTAGAGAAAGAATATAACAGTACACACCTGCTTTTCTGTACTAGGGAAAGACTAATTCCAAATCTCTTGTCCTAATCACATAATATCGATGAAATGAAGAACTCTTTTTTACTTAATCTGTTTTATATAGGACAAATGTTATGGTTTCTTTTGCGAATTAGGTGTTACGAATAAAAATCCTATGGTTTAAGTGTTATTATTTTGTTATAAGTTAGACGAATAACTATGTAAACCCACTATTTCGGTTTAAACAGAAGCAGAATGCTTGAATCGTCACTGACAAACAACCTTGGGTTGAAGATCCTTATTCTGGATGGATATCCGGGATATTTTGCTGCTGAATGTTGTTTGTGTTGAAGCAGAAGTGCTGTAAAGTTTACAGTAATGTCAGAAGACAATTGAAGTGGTATTACGACTTGAACGGGTTAGATTGTGTTTCAACTTCATGGGTGGCTGTCTGTAAATTTTAGATAAACCTTGATCAGTCGGTCCTGAAATTGTAAGGTTGTACACAAAGTGTTGATGTTGGATTATTATTTTCTTTAATTCCTAGAGGGACATAGGGCTCCACCTGCAGGTATTCACTGCGTTCGGTTCTCTGTTAACGTTTTCACCTGGCTCGAAGTTTGTCCACATGCTTTCGTTTCCTCTTCACATGACCTCCTCGAAGTCACCCTTGAACGACAAACTCGCCATTCCCTTTCAGGTTCCACTCGAGCAATGGGTTGTCTAGTGATGTTACTTGATGTTTGTTGATATTAGATGGTTGGAGACAGTTGGCCATAGGAAGCCTTCCAACTAGGTTTCGTGTCAGTTGGGACTTTATAGTCAGCAAGGCACAACTGCAACCTTGAAGGAATTCATATCCCTTCTGAAATTCGAACCTACGTCACCCAGTGCTGCAATCAGAGACGTTACCACTGATCTATTCGGATTTGCGATTGAACTCATGTAGGGTCGTATTGGGTACTGTTGACTGAACACTAGTTAGTAACTAGTGTAATGTGTCTAATATATGTGTAAACTAAGTGTAGGTAAAATTCTGAAACTTTGCCTATGAAATTATTGAAAGTATCAGTAAATTTGCAAATATTAATCATATTACTTGTAAGCTACTAGTAGTGACCATTTTTTTTCAAAAACTTTATGAGTACAATAACAGCGTACTTCGCACTTCTCTTAACCTTAATCGACTCAAGAGGCAAAATAAATAACTGATTTCTGTCTCCATTATTCCGATTGCTGTTTCAGGCAGTTTTAACTGATTTAAACCTCTTATGAGTATATTTATGTAATTGCTTCTATCAAAGCAAACTTATTATTACGCACATAAAATACACGAGTATGAAAATTATATTAACAAGACGAATGAATTTATTCCGGTCAGACTAATTTTCAATTTATCCTTATTGAAAAATATTTTGCCGTGAATACGGTTTTTTAATCAGTTTTTCATGCTAGGTCTAATTTTTCAGAAAAATGTGTTCTGATGAAATACATGAACTGACCCACGTCATTAACAGCTAACTGCTTGTACTTATATTTTGACAAATTTACTTAGTTTATCGATCGAATTATGAATTTAAAAGATAATTCAGGGAGGAAAATTTTCTTCGTTGAATTACGAATTTTGTATAAAAGCGTGTTTTTTACTAGCTTTCGAGGTTTGAAACATAATAATTAATAAAGGTTTACGTTAATGTAGAAACATTAAACTATCACATAATGCTAAATATAAAGGTCAATTGTCTTCGGAAGTTTCTGAATGCTTTGCAGTTACACCTGTAACGTGATACCGATTGACAGGAAGCAGACAAAATCAACATTTCAAGTCAATGGCTACAGAGGTAGAAGTTTTGTGAACATGAAATGACCTCAGGATTTCATCATGAGCTGACATCGGTTAGATAACCAATGGAAATCCAGCTGGGAGTACTGGACAGCTGTCTTGCCTAGTTTGTTGCACTCTTCACCAGTACACACCCATAGAAGTTCGAACCCATGACCTTCTTGTTACAATGCCAGTGAGCTCGTAGGCAATTAAGCCACTCCAACACAACCTAATGGCAGGTGCATAAATTGCAACGTCTGCCAATTCACGATGTAACGCGACCACTAGCGAATGTCATAGGCGAGTATTCGTCCTAACCCGCGACCTTCTGTACCCCATTGGTCATGACTTCTCAATAGAACGATGATATGACCTCACTGGGCAAAATGCCTAACCTTGGCCCGATTGTCAACCAATCACCACAATTTATTCTCCTGTGACCTAGCCAAGCCTTGATATGGCTAAGAATATAATGTGTTTTCCATTATTAAAGGTCCGCTACCAAGTCACTTATCATCTCCCGTTACACGCTGATCACCTGAAATCTTTAACTTTTACCAAGACATTACTTTTTAGTAGATTAAGGTAACCAGCAGGTCAATATGCCAGAAATATTTCCATAATCTTCTTTTAATCTGGCAATTAACTCAATATTCATCACTATGTTATTCCTTTAACACATGTGATTATTTCTCTAAGATACTGTTTGACTCACTGTTTCCATTATTTAGTTATATTCTAACTCAATAGTTGGGTGATACTTTGCTAACCTGTAATCATGAAGTTCTGAACTTTGTCCTTCACTGAGTATTAAGTCAGTGATTGACTTGATTGCTTCACTTTTGATCAGGGCATCTAGGATAGAAATCCAACTTCATCTACTTATCTTTGGGCAATAGAGCTGCTGATAGACCTACAAGAAGATGCAAAGTTAAACTTTAATCACCACTAAATACCAATCAGTGAACGACTTTCAACAGACCAATCACAAGAAAGAGGAGTTTTTGATAAAGGAAAACGTAGATTTATAGAAAAAAAAAAGCATAAAAACTGCATAAAACTGTTACATCGGGTATCTTTCTTTAGCATGTGACAGAAACATCTCCTGATTTAGCATAGGATTGTCAAATAGAAAAGTTACACCACATTCTGTACATATATATTTATCAAAATGATTATAACTGATATCTTCTTGAGATCAATTTATAGCCCTAATCCCTTCTATAGAATTTGTGCGTGTTCCTGTAATGCGATCCACAAAATCACTGGAATGGTTCACTCTGTGATGAATATACCTGTCTGTCTGTCTGTCTGTTTTCGACATAGAACTTTGCACAAATGTGCGGCAGTTCAAGTCGCCACGCTCCGTGTAGCACGCGAAGCAAGAGAAGAAAGTACAAGAAAAGCATAATAGAAACAGTGAGCAGAGATGTGAGACAAAGGAGTAATAAAGAAAAACAAAACAGTTTCATTGGAGATCATAAGTCACAAGAAGTGGATGCATCTGCGCCACTGAGAACGATTTTGAGCCATACCACCAATTGTTTCCAACCATAGATTTTTACCGTCCCACTGGTCACACACCCAACTTGTCATAGGCTCTGGTGGTCACCTGGTGAACTTATTGACAGATCTTCCAAGGGCGACGAGATATCACGTGACCTGAGAGATGGCAGCGAACTAGAACCTTTTCATTCATCAGTATGTGCTATGGATCCCTGTAACAGAAGTCTAGTAATGATAGGTATTGAAATAGTTGCCTTTCTGTCTGGCATTCTTTTCACGAATCTTTTCTGTAGGAAGGTGTCATATACACCAATTACTCAAACATTATTGGCTTGCTCACGACCACGGTAGTATTTTTCCTTCAGTAACACAGTTTCGTCCACGTGCACGACGATGCCTTCTCCGCCCAACAATGAAGAAATTATCTCCATTTTCCATAATGCGATGTCTCTGCAGTGCTGGTACCATTGAACTGTTGACACGAGGCTATTTTCGGTTTCAGCAGCTGTGCCTCTCACAGGCACTTTTAAAACCCAGTAGTTACAAATATACAAAATCTGCGTTAGGGAGAGATGCGACCTAGCAAAAAAATGTTCCTACGAAATATCAAAATTATCAGCTTACCTTCCCTAATACAAAATAGTCTCAAGCAAATTGCATAACGATGTACATATCCTCCAATCAACCTGATAAAGCTTTTTAAACTCATGACACCACCACATGAACAAATCCTCTCCTTACTAAGCAACCCCAAATCCAGGCAATACTGCAAAACCTTATCCTCTTTAAACTGCAAGCGTTGTAACTTGGTTAGAGCACGCATTTGAAACAAAGCAAGGACTATACAACCTTGAACTAACGTTCATGAACCTCATTGGACCATTCAGCGTTGTTCACTGATTGGTGGTTAATGGTGCTTAAAGTTTAACTTGGCCAAGAAGACCTAGTGTCTGCTTTTTATCGTAGGGAGGTTGTTTTTCTCATTTGAAACGTATTAATAAACTACATTTTGGACATAATATATTAATCTGAATATCTTTTTATATTTGAGGATAGTAAGCTCTTGGTTTGATGCCACGCACAAGGAAATAGCCATATTCATCCATTTCCCTACGTAAATTTGTTGAACCAATAATAAAACGGCATAATAGTTCATTGCTCACTAAGTAAAGGAGAGATTAATTAACAATAACACTGAATATAATAGTTATTGTGTAACATAGAATTTAAGCTGTATTCTCAGTAGCTTTTAAGTCTATTCATATTACTGGACATATTCTTCTTAGTATGGTCTGTATTAAATACTGATTCCGAAAGCGTAATAACTTATTTCAGTTACAATGAAGCTGACGTAATAGATTATGTATCGTGAGCGTCTTTGTATATTTTTGTTTTAACGGGCATCATTCATAAAAGAGATAATAATTATTGTCATTAGATTCAGAAGTATCAAGTAACAATTCAGTTTTTAAGTAGTCTCTTAATTAGTGTAGTGCACTCATACTACCAAGGTTTTTTCGATATAAAGAGGTAAACTACTGATAAATAGGTAGTAGTCGGTTTCTAAATCGCTGAAATTTTGTTTGCTCAGAGACTATTTTTTTAAATTTTCTATAGTTTGGTTTGTAAGGATTAGTTATGTTTTACGAGTTGATCACGGATTGATATCAGTTAGAGGACCATTGGAAACCAGGGAGTACTGGACAGCTGCTGTTTCATCCTAGTTTGGGAATCATCGGCAGTACGCACCCACTGGGATTCGAACCCGGGACCTTCCGGTTACACGGCCAGCCAGCTCGTATACCATTCAGCCACTGGGACCCGATTCAATGGCTCGTGAATTCTAACTTCTACCAATTCGTGATTTAGCGCGACCCCAACCATTGTCGTTGGTGGGACATCCATCCACACACGTGACATCTAATTGGACCTCACTGGTCACGACTTCTCACTAGATCTCAGGAAACTCCAACCTGTAGCAAGTCACTAGCGAGCATTAGATTAACTTTCTATAGTTTGGTTTGTAAGGATTAGTTATGTTTTACGAGTTGATCACGGATTGATATCAGTTAGAGAACCATTGAAAACCAGGGAGTACTGGACAGCTGCTGTTTCATCCTAGTTTTAAAATTTTATTTCTTTACACTTCCAGTGGAATATTGGGCTTCAAGCCAAGGCTTTGAAGTTTCGATAGCAGTGGTATTTATTTTTATGGGACAGGGTTATTAACCTGATGTCTAAATTTCCCTCTTTATCGATCTTATTACTGGCTTAGCGAGGTTTAGGAGACCGTCGGCCGCTGATCGAACTCCAGACCACCTCCGTGGCTGGCGAGAATTCTGTCGCTGTGCCACTGACACACCCAACTTGTCATAGGCTCTGATGGTCTCCTGGTGAATTTATTGACAGATCTTCCAAGGGCGACGAGATATCCCGCGACCTGATAGTTGTGTGCAAGGTTTGAAGCAGACTGTGTTTTATATGCATGCACCTCACCCTGTTAATAATAATAATAATAAAAATTGCTCGAAGATATTCCGTTTTAATGCCCCCTAAATTCGAATCGTTTCATAACTACGTCTTAACACAAGAAAATTATCATAACGCAGAGATACTACTATGAAGGTGGACATACCTACTGAATGGCAATACAAAACTTGGCACTATGGCTTCAGAGAATGTTAAGCTTTCAACCTGTGTAAATGGATTCTGAAAGAAGTTGGCGTAAGGCGTTGGGTACAATTTTGTTCAAATTGTCATGAAAACGAAAATATTATGTGGATATCTTTATGCAGTTGACCTTCTTTAACTCTAGTATATATGACTGCATGAAAGATGTTTCTTTGGGATATACGGTTAAGTGTATGTTGCACTGTGAATCGCATACTTTCTGCTAACTTCTCATAAAACACTTCTTAACCAGCGGCATCACTACTAAATTCACAGTTTCATAGTGAAGAATGAGTTGTCTGCCATCAATAAGCTAAGACGGCAGGCATTAGCAAGAACTGACTTTATAATCCTTGTCTCTAATTACTTTTTTTCATAAGTTACTGAATTTGAAAATAAAGTTTTAAAGGAAATAATTAGCATTCAGAATAATTAACTCGCTTGTTTTCAATTTTCTCTGTTTTCTTTATTTAGGGATAACATTGCTAAAATCATTTTCAAGGGGAAAAAATTTACTCTACATTTGAAAACTCCTAACGTAAGTTTATATGAAGTCAGTTAATCTTCACTGTTTGTAGTACCATTCAGTGTATTATATTATTATTGTTCTCTTAGGTTTCGAGTGGAACATAAGGCTTCAACAACATAACTCCACTTTCCTCTGCCTTCTACTATCCTCTTTATCTGGATCCAAGATTGGGCATATTCTCTCATTTCCTTCTGACCAAACAATCTCCCTCATGTCACTATTCTCGCATTGATGACTTACTCGTGTCTTCCCATTGAGGTTCCATTCGAGCGATGGCCTGCATCGCACGTGATATGATTTGGCGACCTCCTCAGCGAATGCCCAATTCCTTTTTATTTTCTCCTACAGATATTTGTTGATCAAAAGGCACTTGGTTAGCTTGTCCCTAGGGTCTTTTGTTGCTAATTCTTTCTGGCCAATCTGCCATTTGATCTTTAATATGGAGTCAGTGAAGGCATCGGTTAATAAAAGTCAGTTGTGGCCTGTTAGAAATGCTTTTCTTGATGCACCAAGTTTTTGAACAATATAAAAAAAAGCCGACTTCATATTGGTATTGAAAATCCAAATTCTCTTCTTTAGTCTGAGAGGGAGCAAATTTCCGAATTGGTTTCAGGTTGATGTAGGTCTCTCTTGCCTTTCCGACTCTGTTTGACTTTCACATCTTCATCTGTACAGTCCACCTCCGTGTGGTTGAAACAATACTCAGTGCTTAGATAAGTGACGAAGGTAACCTCTGTCAAATTAATCCCGTTGAAAATGATTGATGCTGTTGGTTGATCATCTTCATCACCTGTTAGGAAGAGGCAAAACACATGCAATTATCAGGTCATTATCATGTCTCAGTCAAGTTATTATCGCGTTATTAACAAGTCGTTGACATGCAATTGTTCCTGCTTCTGATTGGACGCTTGCACAATTCCAACTCTCAACCGGATTGGTTGATTTCCAGTCTACCTTATTTTTGTGTAAATACAGTCACTTTTGTCATAATAAATGAACCTGGTTTTACCGCTGATTCTCGCGTGTTCTGCTTTACCAGTTAAGTGGGCACTGGTCAGTAGTTAAGCAGTGACCTCATGACAAAGATCTAGCATCATAACAATTGGCGACGGGGTTTCGAATCCATTGCAGTTCAATACAGTCAAATAAAACCCAGATCATCCAGTGTACATCCAGCCTGTCTTCCAAATGACAATTTCATTTGAACAAATGCAACTTCTCCTTCATCAACAACAGCAACAGTTTGAAGCTTGCCAGCTCAGCTTGATTGAAAAACTTACAAAGCAGTTTTCAATTCAAAATCTCGGCAGTTCCAACTCAGAGAAAACCGAATCTATTGGGAGTTCAATTGTAGAGTTCAATTTCGAACCTTCAACAGGCGTGACGTTTGAAGCTTGGTTTCGACGTTATGAAGATCTGTTCCGGGTTGAATGCGCTCACCTAGATGATTCGGCCAAAGTGAGACTACTCCTTCGGAAACTTGGTCCAGCCGAACATAACAAATATGTCAATCATATTCTACCAAAGAACTCCAGAGAACTCAACTTTGAAGAAACCGTTCAAACGTTAACCAATATTTTCGGTGAACAGTTATCTCTCTTCAGTATCCGTTACAATTGTTTCAAGATATCCAAAGATCCAGGAGATGATATTCTCACCTATGCTGGTAAGGTGAATCGTGAATGCGAGCGATCGAAAATTCGATCACTTACGGATGACCAGTTTAAATGCCTGATCTTTGTCTGCGGTCTCAAATCTTCAGTTGACAGTGATATTCGTACCCGAATCCTTGCAGAGATTGAACGCAAACCGGACATGACTTTACAGGAGGTAACTGCTGAGTGCCAGCGAATCATCAATCTAAAGCATGACACGAAGTTGATTGAGGACGGTCAAGTTCATGAATTTACTTCTGTTCAGGCTGTCAAGTCAAACAATTCTCTGCAAGTCAAACACAAGCCTCCCACAAATTGTTGGTTTTGTGGATCGTGGCATTTTGGTAAATTTTGCCCGTATAAAAGACATAAATGCAGTATCTGTAACAAGTATGGTCACAAGGAAGGATTTTGTCCCCCAGTGAAACCTAGATCAATCCGATCTCACAATACGATGGCACAGTCACGAAAGTTTCGATCTCGGTCGACGAAACCTCAAATCAGCAGTATGTTCGCTACCTTCAAAGTTGACTTCGAGTCAAAAAGAAAGTTTGTCACACTTTCTATCAACCAGAAGCCAGTTCGACTACAGTTAGATACTGCTTCTGATATCACAATCATATCTCCCCAGACGTGGCGGGCACTCGGGTGTCCACCTTATCAGAGAACGGAGCATACTGCAAGAAACGCGTCGGGTGACGTAATGAAATTATCTGGCCAGATTGAATGCGACGTAACTTTCCGGTCGACCTCGTTCCAAGGAACATGCTACATCACCAATCGTCATGATTTGAACTTGCTTGGTATTGACTGGATCGAAAAGATGAAACTCTGGGATGTCCCACTGAACTCAGTTTGTTCCAATGTACAGTGCTCAGATAGTCCTACCAACATGTTGATGCATCCGAACTCGACCGCAAAGTTCATCAGTCATCTTCGCACCAAACACGCTGCCGTTTTTCAAGAGTCTTTGGGTTGCTGTACCGTACAAAAAGCCAGACTATACCTCAAACCTGATGCCAAACCAGTTTTTAGACCAAAACGCCCAGTACCGTATGCCGCATTATCGTCCCTTGATGCAGAGCTGGATCGTTTAGAAAAGTTGAACGTAATCAAGCCAGTCGATTACTCATCCTGGGCAGCCCCCATAGTGGTTGTCAAGAAAGCAAACGGTACCATCAGACTTTGTGCTGATTTCTCAACAGGACTCAATAATGCCCTTGAAGATCAACCGTATCCACTACCAGTACCGCAAGATCTATTTGTCAAACTGAATGGCGGTAAATACTTCAGTAAACTTGATCTAGCTGAGGCATACCTACAGATCGAGGTCGAAGATGATTCTAAAGAGCTTCTGACAATCAACACTCACAAAGGACTGTATCAGTTCCAGCGACTTCCATATGGTGTTAAACCTGCTCCTGCTATATTCCAACAGATAATGGATGCAATATTAGCTGGTGTATCGGGAGTGGCCGTTTACCTCGATGATATCATAGTCACAGGAGAAACTCAATTCGAACTCTTCAATCGGTTGGATAAAGTCCTGACAATACTCAGTGATTCCGGTTTCCATTTACGTCCGGATAAGTGCAATTTTTTCATGACTTCAGTGAAGTACCTGGGATTCATTTTTGACAAAGATGGTCGCAAACCCGACCCCTCCAGTGTGTCAGCAATTCAACAGATGCCTGCCCCTAATAATCTCAGTACGTTGCAGTCCTTCCTGGGGATGATCAGTTACTATAGTGCGTTCCTGCCAGATTTACATCGTCTCAGGGCCCCAATGAATCAGTTGCTCATGAAGAATGCTAAATGGAACTGGTCAGAAGAATGCCAACAAGCTTTCATCAAGGTCAAGAAATTACTCCAGTCTGACCTGCTGTTAACACATTACAATCCAAAGCTGGATATAACATTAGCTGCAGATGCGTCCAACTATGGTATTGGCGCTGTCATTTCACATGTGTTTCCAGACGGTGTTGAAAAGCCAATAGCATATGCATCGCGAACCTTGACAAAGGTAGAGCAGAATTACAGTCAGGTCGAAAAGGAAGGATTAGCGCTCGTGTTTGGGATTCAAAAGTTCCACAAAATGCTGCTTGGCCGAAAGTTCACACTTTTTACTGATCACAAACCACTATTATCGATTTTTGGCTCCAAGAAAGGTATTCCAGTCTATACAGCCAATCGACTCCAACGATGGGCGACTATGCTACTAGGATACGACTTTCAGATCAAGTACAAATCTACAAAAGATTTCGGGAATGCAGATGTCCTCTCGCGTTTACTCAGCTATAACAAGCCCGCAAAGGAGGACGCTGTGATCGCCGGCGTTTCTGTCGATGAAGACGTGTGCCACGTATTGATGACGGCAATAAACACTTTACCTGTCTCAGCCGACATGGTTCAACGAGAGACGCAGCGTGACCCGACATTACAGTCAGTTCAACAGTATCTGCGTTGTGGCTGGCCCTCGCGTATTGATTGTCCAGATTTAAAACAGTTCTATCAACGACGACATTCGTTATCCCTGGTCAATGACTGCATTATGTTTGGCGAACGTGTGGTCGTGCCTCGAAGTCTCCAACAAAAAGTCATGAGTCAACTACATTTTACGCATCCTGGTATTGGCCGTATGAAATCGTTGGCACGCTGTTACGTCTACTGGCCAAATATCGATCGTGAATTAGAAGTGATGGTTCGCTCATGTTCTCGCTGTGCTCAGGCTTTGAAAATGCCTATCAAGACAGACCTACAGCCGTGGCCCAACCCAGGAAAACCGTGGTCAAGAATCCACATAGATTTTGCCGGCCCAATCAATGGCAAACAGTTTCTCGTGGTAATCGACGCGTATTCCAAGTGGCCGGAGGTTTTCATTATGCAAAATACCACAGTGACGATAACATTAAATAAGTTGGTTCAGCTTTTCAGCAGATTTGGTGTTCCAGAGATCATCGTTTCCGATAACGGACCTCAGTTTACAGCTGAACAATTCAAACAGTTTTGTGAGCGGCTAGGTGTTCAGCATATTCGCAGCCCGCCTTACCATCCTCAGTCAAATGGACAAGCAGAGCGTTTTGTTGATACACTCAAGCGCGCACTTCAGAAGTCAAACGGGGAGGGATTTTTTTTTTTTTTTTTTTTTTTTTTTTTCTTCATTTATCGAACCACAACCAACCCATCATGCCCAAATCAAACATCTCCCGCAGAAGTTATGTTTGGAAGAAGATTACGTACTACTTTGGATACAATTATCCCGATCCCATCAAGACGGAGCAAATGTGGTCGAAATAGTGAATTTTGGTTCAATAGACGTCATGGCACCAAGCAAAGAAGTTTCATGGTTGGTCAGTCGGTACTGGTTCGTGATTACATACGGAGAGATCGCCCATGGGTTTCTGGAGTGATCGTTGGAAGAAAAGGCCAAGTCATTTACAAGGTCAAGGTTGGAGACCTTATTTGGGTCAGGCATGCCAATCAAATAAGAAATAGACTAGTTGGTAAACAGTTGAACGATTCCAAGTCCACCGACGTACAATTTGAGCTATTGATAGATACGACGGATCCGAAAACGTCACATGGCCAAAATAGTCGAAACAAAGGCAAAGTGTCCCAGCAGCCAAGGAGATCACAACGACAACCAAGACCGCCAAAGTACCTACAAGTGATTCCGCGATACAAAAGCTACCCGTAGCCCTATCGTAAAAGGGGAGGTGTTAGGAAGAGGCGAAACACATGCAATTATCAGGTCATTATCATGTCTCAGTCAAGTTATTATCGCGTTATTAACGGAGTTCTGCATTTATTGCATTCTGATTCTCTCCAGGATGACTTGACTCACTATTTTACTTAGTGTGAAGTGGAGTATTATTCCACACTAGTTCTTGCATAGTGATTCGTAAATCTCCGTTCTTCTTCGGTAATTTGACTAGGTAGCCTTTCTTGAAGTTCGTAGGTACCTTTCTTTTCTTTAAACCATTTTGGAGTTGTGGCATGAGCATATCTGCCGGAGTCTCTCGGTCCGCTTTCAGCTCTTCGGGGAGAATTCCGTCTGATTTGGTTCTGCTGCCTTCCCGGCTGGCTTTCAGCAGCTTGACCGCATTTAGGATTTCTGCTTTCGTTGGTTCTTAAAAAAGTCTACCCGGGAATTCCGTTCAAACAGTCAACATTCCTTCTTGTTCTGTGGATTTATGTATTAGTTAGTGATTATTCAAAATATATTTCTTTACGTCTGAAAATGATGTGTAAGTTCAACTCAGTTCATTTTGTCCTTAAAGCATTAGCATGAACCGGTAGTTAGTTCACTCACTATATGGTGCATTATATTTATTAATCGATAGTGATTGTGACATGCTTTATGGCCTGTTATGCACCTCAATAGCAAATATCTGCTAACGGTATTAGATATGTTACCAAAGTATTTAGACACACACGAGAATATGAGGGAACTAACGTTTGGACACATTGATTCTAATGTACTTGAATCACCTAGCAAGAGTTGTGCTGAAATCCTGAAATTTCACCCATGATCGTATGTTTGAATGGCTTAACAGAATGTCTTTTATCGCCAAAGTCGTCAGCCTAACTTACTGAGGATTTCTTTCAAGGTTTCTGCTGAGCCATCCATTGATCATCAAAGTAACGTGACGGTGGCACAGAGGTTAGGATGCTCGCCGACTATGCACATGGTACGGGGTTCGATCCCCTGCCGACTCCTCTGTCTGATATCAGTGGTCAGTCTGCAAAATTTGGGCTACCGATATCACGTGCTGAAAATTCCAAAAATGCGGTGTGGAATCAAGCTATAATTAAAAAATAAATAATAATAACGGGATAGTTTATTCTAAAATTAGGTGATTTATTACACAGTTGGATGGCCGTTGCTTTTTCGAGTGGTGCGATGTGTGAAAAGTAAGTCAAACAGGTTGTCGAAAGATTAACAATCGGAGAGAGCTTGTTCAGCTCTTCAAACCACAGCAGTGACTGTTTAGTTCCACCCTTACATTTTTTTTACACTGAATTTCTCTTCAATGAATTATACAGATCACACATTTTTGTATTAGAATCTTGAATAGAGATAAGCGAATGACTTTTCGCATTCACTTGCCATAATTTTGTCCCAAAGTACCTATTCCCAAGAGACGGTGTTATAGAATTTTCGAGGACAAAACTTTTAAAATGTAATGATCTTATTGTCCCTGTGAATCTCAAGTAAAGTAGATAACAAGCATAATCTGCTATACAAAGACAAGAAGGAGATAGCTACTAAAGAAAATCTTTTTGTCGCCTATGCCATCAGTACCGTGATGGCGAGCTACCTAGAATGGTGACCACATTACATACCTGACTGATAGAATTCAGTTTGCACCAAAGAAAGGACTAGCCACGTTATATTAGTTACTAGTGTCCAATCAAAATGCCCACTACGGTCGTACAGGAGGTCAATCGCGAGCCCAAATCGCTCACTTGTAACTTCCCTGACTGCGGCACTTGGAGATGCAGGTTCGAATCTCAGAATTGGCATGAGTCCCTTCAAGGTGGTTGCAGATACGCCTTACTGACTGGTGAGCACCAGCTAGCACGAAACCTAGTTGGAAGGCTTCCTATGAGCGATTGCCTCCAACTTTCTAATATATTAGTTACTTAAGTGTAGCTCAGATAAGCGGATTAGTTTATGCCAAAACAGCTATTGTATGAACCTGTGGTGTGAGCACACTTCGGTCTCTGAGTGTAAGTATTCCATATTACCAGCATTACCTTGGAGTAACTCAGTCCCAATATGACTTTATTTAAATAACAAATCTACAAGGATTCTCGATATGTCTTACTACCGAGTGCTGATGAGCACGGAATCTAGGTTCAGCACTTCCTGTAGACTACCACGAACCATTGAGCATCACATTGGTGGAAGAAGTGATGACGTAGCCCAGATGCCATATTGGTTACATGCTAGTAACTGATAAGTGTGTCTGATCAGTGGTCGAATACTTCGACGCTACCGTCTCTTAAAAACCAGGCTGAAACTCTGTATGGCATAAATTCTATCTAGACTACAGATACACTTAATACTAACGGTGATAACTGTGTTTAAGCCATTTCGCTACTGCCTTCATCCAATCAGGCCTCAACTACCGTTATTATGTCTGCTTCAGGGCAAGAGATGCATACCTTAATTTAGTTTCAATCAAAGATAAATAGGAATACGGCAAAGTTAGCACAACAGTAAATATCTAATTTTATTTTTCTTTAAATTAGTGGTTTGAAATTGTCATTCTCACCTGAAAGTGAATAATATGAACGATATTTAGTTTATAGTTTCATTAAATTGTAATTACTTTAATTGAATCTTAGATTTTACCACCGATTGAAGTGCTCCGTCTCAGGTTGACATGTCGGCTTCTTGTGCATATGCTTCGACGATGTCTGGGCATGTAATTAGAATTTAATTGATGCATGGTGACAAGCAGTGGAATCTAGGGCAGCGCGCATTTCGTCCTATTTGGGTCTCGTCATCTGGATTGATAAGGCTTTGGCGTTTGAAACTATGGGCATTGGGTTCGAGCCTCGCTGGTGGGAACATCATCACTCACTGACTGGAGAATGCAAGTGCATCCAGTTGACGAGTCATTCCCAAATAGGACGAAATGCGCGTTTTCCTGGATTCTACTGCTAGTCAAAAATCCACCAGTTAAATTATAATTACTTTATATTCTGAGTTTTGTTATCGTTTTGAAAACTATCATCGATCTGACGTTAAGTATGTTAACAGCATTAAAAATCCTGTTATCAGAAAATCAAAGTTAATTGCATGTTTACATTGTCGCACTATAACTACTCCTTTTTTTCCTACTCACATTTGTATTTACTATCTTTGAGTGAGTACACACATACTGTATGAAATATTGTATCTTTTAGAAATCAATGAATGGTCATCTTTCATCTATTTCGGGATTATCCACTAGTCCAATTATGAAATCAGAAAGTGAATTAAAACAACATTATCGTTTTAAGTCAGCTGTAAGCACAAAATTATTTTGGCAATATGCTGTTAGCTGTCATGCATTTTTTCGTGTTCGAGAACCGATAAATACAACAACAACGAATCGTTCTCAACAACATCAACAGCAGCAACAACAACAACAACACCAACAACCCCCATCATCACCAACTTCGTCAACTATATCAGCTACAGCACTTTATGCAGCTATGTCACGTGTGGCTAGTGGTTTTCAACGTTATTTTTCAATAACTAGACGTAGTAGTCTGTCAACTGCTACTCCTAATGGTCCAGTCGGTGGAGTTGGTCGTACATTGTCTACATTAATGGAATTGAGAAAAAGTTCACGTGCTTTTGATCGTAGTTTCGCAAGGTAAGACATTTTAATGTATATACTCAACTTAATTCAATTGCTATTTCTTGAATAAATGATTACTGATATCACTAGAAACTAATTAATAATTAAATGAATTCGTATTGGCCACATCTAGAATAAATTTATTAGGATAAATGGGAAAACTTTCTTAGGACTCAGTCAACCATAGATGTATAACATCACATTTGAATGAAGATATGGGATAATTATAAATATACGCAGTCTTCTTAAATATCACTAATAAAGTGTAAAGATCACATTTTATTGAGTTGATCAAAGAATATAATTATTTTGATTGGACACTAGTGACTAGTGTGATGTGTCTAGTCCTCAGTGTTCGATGCAGACTGAATTCTGTCAGTCAGGTTTGCCAAGTGGCCACCATTCCAGGTAGCTCACTATCACAGTGCACAATAATGATCAGATAGTTGGAGGCTATCGGCAGGAAGTCTTGCCTGATCTAGGTTTCGTGCTAGTCGGCGCTCACCAATCATCAAGGCGTATCTGCAACCACCTTGAAGGAACTCATGTCCCTTCTGAGATTCGGACCCGCATCACCAAGTGCTGCAGTCAGAGATATTACTACTGAGTTATTCGAGCTTCAAGGTTGCAGATACGTCTTGTTGACTGGTGAGTACCAACTTGCACGAAGCCTAGGTCAGGCAAGGCCTCCTATGACCGATTGCCTCCAACCATCTAATATAAAGAATATAATGTATTACTTTTGAGAGGGTTGAATTTTAGTTGCCTATTGCATACTTGAATTAGCCAGACTGCCATTTGTGTAATGGGTTATCAGTGAAGGCCAAATATAGACCAAGGTTGCAGGAAGATTCAGTCCAGGAGCCTTCAGATTACTAGTCGATTCTTGTACCAGCTGAATTATGAGACCCAGTTGTTTACCCTATCACAATTTCACTGTAATTATCGAAAGTTATACCCAGCAGTCATGTGACTGAATGAGGCGTAACTACAAGTTGGTTACCACTCTGTCTGTCCAGCTGGATCTTCTTTCGCAATCCTAGTGATAATAGATCATTCGGATGAGATCAAGGTGTTGGTAATTAGTGATTCTATCGAAAAGAACAGAACTCCGACCAGAACAAGCTGGATTCAGGAAAGGCAAATCATGTACTGACCAAATTGCAACTCTACGCATCATCATCACAGAACAAAGCATGGAATGGCGATCAAACCTCTACCTCAACTTTATAGACTTTGAGGAGACCTTCGACAGCGTTGATCGTGAAGTAATTTGGAAATTACTCGAGTACTATGGCGTACCCCAAATATTCATCAACCTTATTCAACAGCTGTACGACAACGGCGGCACATGTCAAGTGATCCACAACGGTAGACTCAGCGAGGCGTTTGGAGTAAACACAGGAGTCAGACAAGGGTGCTTACTATCACCAATGATATTCCTAATTGTGTTGGACTGCATTATGCGTCGTCAGACAGTGGGAAACGAGAAGACAGGAATATCCTGGACCGACGTGAAGAACCTAGAAGACCTGGATTTCGTGCGTGGATGATTTATGTTTGATGTCACACACAATCGAAGACTTACAAGCGAAAACCGACAAACTGGTCGAAGAAGAAGCCGGAGAAGACAGGACTCCAGGTAAACATAGACAAGACGGAGGTTATGAAAATAACCAACCAACAACAGCAACAACATCCAACGTCAATCACCATCAATGGGAGGGATCTGAAAGAGGCTACTTCATTCTATTTGCTTATCTAGGGAGCATTGTCTCAACTACAGGAGGAGCGAACGAGGATGTCAAATCGAGCGAGAATCGGGAAGGCGAGAAACACATTCATCAACCTGAAACCAATCTGGGAATCTTCGTCACTCAGCATCACCAACAAAATTCGGATTTTCAATACAAACGTCGCGTAAGTCAGTTCTTCTATACGGATCAGAAACTTGGCGGGTCACAAAGAATATTTCCAAAAGGCTGTTGCAGACCTTTATTTACAACTGTCTTCGCTGGCTCTATACTGAAGATCAGATGGCCGGAAAGAATCACCAACAAGGAATTATGGGAACAAACAAAGCAAGAACCAATCGCCCAACAAATATGCAGGAGAAAGTGGAGATGGATCGGACACTCGCTGAGGAGACCGCTGGGTGACATCGCGCGTCAAGCCCTCGAGTGGAACCCGAAAGGGAAGCGGCGTGTGGGACGTCCAAGGGTGACATGGAGGAGATCGTGTGAAGAGGAGTTGAAAGAATATGGATTAACATGGATGCAGGCGAAAAGTATAGCAGAAGACAGAAGAAAATGGAGACGTGCAGTTGAAGCCCTATGTTCCACTAGGAACCCAAGGGAGCAATAATAATAAAAATAATAATCGAAAAGAAAATAAGAATGAACCCGCACCAATAATACAATGTAGTGGTATTTTGTGAACTGACAGAATTTTAGAAATCTAATATTTGAGGTCCCAATACAGGAAATGATCAGAAACAGTGACAACCCTTGGCCGTATTCTGTAAATTGAGTTTCAAATTATCACTGATATTTGACTTTTAGGCGAGGATATGTTTGATAATTCCATAACTTCAAAAGGTCTCTGGTTAACTAAGATATCTTGACGTTTTTAATAAGACCTATTGCAAATAGGATAGTCTAAGATTGAAATTCTGGGCTTTTCAGCTTCAATAGCAATGAGGCCGTCTCTACTCCAACTATCTGAGCAACATCGTCTCACTTAAAAGCGGCATGGAAGGGAAGGTGAGAGCCAACCAGGCCCCTGTAGGGAAAGCAGGATAGGTGTTCATTACTCTAAAGTTGGTAAGACAGACCTAAAGGACTTAGTAGGGGCATATATATATATATGCCTGGCTAGTAAAAGGAGACCAAATGCGTGTATGCAGTTAAGTGACAAAACATCTGGTCAATTCACGACACTCAGCACCATTTGAAAAATCTTTCAAAATAATATAGAAGATTTGATCAAACCTATCAAAGGGAGTAAAATTAATGTATCTCGACATAACCGGGGAACTAACCATCCAAAAGCTCAAACCCACTCTATGTATCCAAAAGAAATACATCCAGCCCTTGTCCCTGCCATGGCCATCATAAACAGGTAATTCTTCCATTAGTGACTATCCCATTGCCTTTCTTATCCAAACTTCTTGTTTATTCATGTTATTTTTAAGTTTTCTTAATCTCTATTTACATTACCATATTTTCATATTGGAACTTCGTGTTTATTTTGTCATTTTACTATTTCTACACATTTAATCCCTAATTGCACAAACAATTATTCGTCATACTAGTTTTCTTATCCAAGCATCCTGTTGTTATTTCTACATTTTTAACCCCGAATTGCACAATGTCAATCTTCTCAGTAATTATAATGCTACTTTGTTTGAGTTTTATCCGTCCCCCTGTTTATTATGACATTTTAATTCCTAATTATAATTTTATTGACCTGACCTCTAACCGGAAATTATTCTGGAACTTTCGTACTTATTTATTATAAATACATGAATGCACAGCCTAGTTGGTGATTTCGTCGAAAAGAGAAAATTTTCTTCGCTGCAACTGTCTTTTTATCATTCCCTATGACCAAATTTGTGCAAGATGTTTTACTAAAAGGGTTGAATAGAATGGTGAAATCACTCGTATACGTCAGATTAAAACGGCTTTTTTTTATAATTCAGGTGATACGCTGTTTTAAGCAGTGAAATTACACTAATAAAACGTAATCATTCACTTTCTTTGCATTTTGCAGATTGCACAGTAGGCGGAGTAATCATCTATCTCAGATCAGCCCTACAAATAATCCAGTTCAAAACCTTCCTCCATTGTGTAAGCCAGATGCCTCAACTATTTCACCTACAACAAATCTCTCCGATTCAAATACAACCGGTAATCAATCAAAATCTTATGCTCAAATACCTCCTCCTGGTGGTGGTGGTGGTGGTATGAAAAACTCCACTTCTGTAAACACTGGAATGCCACGTTCAAGTCATCGAAGTGCTTTAGTGCAGAACAGAGATTCAAATAACACATCATTGGCGAATACATCAGCCAGTGCTAGTGGTAAAATTAAGAAATTAATAAGTTTAGCTGATGTAGAAAGCTCTACCAATATCAGTCGCTTATCTAGTCAAACAAAACAGACTTCTAACGAGGTAATTATGCATCATTTTTTATTTTAGTATCAATTATTAGATTTTGTCATGTACTAAAATCAGACAGAAAGATCACTGAAAATCAGAAAGCACTGGATAGCTGTGTCGTCCTTTTCTGAGGCTGTTCATCGGTGTGCACTCATAATCTCACCAGAAATGGAATGCGGAACCTTCAGCAGTACAAGACCAAGCTTGTTGAAAATTCAGGCAATTAATCCCGAATTCAGTGATCCGTGGTTTCGAACTCTTTCATTTCGACAGCTTCAAGACATCTGTCCAGTAGGGATTTATCGTGTGAAGGTGGATTAGATGTTCGTAGAAATCATTGACTAAGGGTAAGGATACATCACGAGTCATTGAATGGACCGAATAGTCCAACGAGCTTGGTCTTGTAAGGTTCCTGAAGGTTCTGGTTCCATTCCTGGTGAGATCATGGAAGTACACAGATGAAGAGCCCTAGAATGGGACGATACAACCACTTAGGAAACGAAATCTGATAAATGAAATTAATACAAACCCCATAATGTTTTTCCATTCTTATAGTTTAGTTCACTAAACTTAATCTCTCAATTGATATCATTGGTAAAGGATTCACTTTGAATTTTTGTTATTGTTTTCGTAAACGTAAAATAATCCAAATAAGAATTGAACCCAATGTAACTATAGAAGACGAAGATTCGATCGGTCAGAATTTGTTCCAGGATTTCATCATGAGCTAACATAGATTAGAGAACCACTGGAAAAACTAGGAGCACTGTCAGACAGCTGTTTACTCCTGGTTTGGGATTCTTCATCAGTACGCACCCACCGGGGTCCGGATCCAGGACCTTTCCGGCTACAACATGAGGTCGTAGAAAAGTAGGGTATAGCAGATCGGGAGTGAGGATAAATACTCGCCACGAATGACATTGCCTAGTGGTTGCGCTATGTCGTGAATTGGCAGAAGCTGGAATTCATGGGCTACTGATATATTTCTCAGTGGCTTAATGGTCTACGAGCTCGCTGGTCTCGTAACCAGGTCTTCATTTCGAATCCCGATAGGTGCCTACGTCTTGAAGAGTCTCAAACTACGCTGATAGAACAGCTTTTCAGTACTTCTGCGTGTTCCAGCGGTTTTCCAAACAATCTCAGCTAGGGTCGAAATCCTGTAACCAGTCAATTAAATCCCTACGAAACAATCCTTGGAAGGATGATTTATGTGGAAATCGGTATCTATGTAGTTAAATTATGTACACCTTATCTTCAACGCATCACTTGCACAGATCATCGGCATTATGCTACTTCTACCTTTCATATTGTGGGTTTCTTTGTGTTCCTTTCATGTCTGTCATGTATCTTGACAACGCTGTATCATTTGTTTCCTCTGACATCAAATCTGTCTCCCTGCTATTTCAATATAGAAAAAATCCCCATTTAAACATTTAGAAAAACGGAAAGATTGAGTAAAGCAATATTCACTTTTCAATTAGATCCTCATCTCTGGTTCTACTCTAATATATATCCAGAGCATTTTTATTGCAATACACAACTGTTTACCAATCAAGTGGCGATATGTTTGTTAACAATAATTAGTCTGTGTCAAAATGTCAATGGGTTGATAATTAATGAAGAAATTCAATACACATTTAAAAGGTAGAAATGGTTAGAATAAATTAATTTTACAAGAATAACACTTAAATTAAATATGAATTGGTCAGAAAAATAAAATAATTTGGACAGTTGAGATTTTTATAGTTTTAAATGTTTAGAGGGAGGGGGGCGAAGTAGTCCGGTTTATACACTCATGTACCGATGACCACGGTAAGGTAAGTGGCTGTACAAATTTCTTCTGAACACACAGGTTTGTCTTCTTCAGGTGGATTCCTATTGCTTCAGCTGTCGTATGTAGAGCACAAATTAAGATTAGTCGGAATGCGATAAATAATTATGAATACAGTATTAACATCAACTTTATGCTCAGTATCTACAAGGTGGGCTAAAATAGAGCTACGAATAGATCTTGTTTGTCCCTCGCTTAACCATGTTGGATGATGTTCGGAAATACGATGATGAACCTGCCTAATTGTACGCCCAATGAGATAAGGATCTAACTGAATAGTGAATATTTCTTTGCTCAATCTTTATGTTTTGTAAATCCCTGGTATTTGATGTTTTTTTCATGCCGAACAGCATCTCCTTATGTACTACTGATAAATCTTATCAGTAGTGCAGATGTGCTCATATCATTTCCGTCAAATTTTTTAACGCTCCAATTTCTTGTCTGCTTCATATTTACCTCTTTTTTGTCTGAAAAACCATCATTGTGTTGTTTCGCATTTTGCTGTCTACCTTCCCATGGATTCTATTCAATGCGCATATGTGAAGTGTGGCAACTTTACCCACTTGAGACCGTACTGCCAGTCTTTTTATGATGTTAGTGTGTATTTGTCTGTCGTTATTAAAAGAATGAATACTCTACTCATGTTTACATGCAAGTGCTATTATTTATTTATTTTTTTCTCTGTCTTGTTACTTCGCCTGAGGTGGTATGTCTGTTTCGTATTTGTTTGTATCAGAAAAAGCCGTTTCTATTTCTAAATGGGTAGAAAATCTCTAATCCATGCATACACTTACTACTATTCTCAGAATTTTTAGTGACTACATACTACAGCTCAACTGTATCTATCAGCTGTGAATAATTGCTCAAAGCACAAAATGGAATTTAGTTAGTGGATGGTGACTAGCAGTGGAATCCAGGATAACGCGCATTTCGTCCTATTTGGGACACGTCATCTGGATGTACTTGCGTTCCCCTGTGAGTGGTGATGTTCTCACTACCGAGGCTCGAACCCAGTGCCCATAGTTTCAAATGGAATGCACTATGTTAGGCGTAAAAGCAACATGTCGTCAAAACAATTGAGTAGAAGAGAAAATGGTTCACTCAAGAGAGATGTCTATAGAAAACCTATGCCTATAGGACAATATACACCTTTGCTCAGTTTTGTACCAATCCAATAGGAAATCAATTTCCTCAGACGCCTCACGAATAGAGGAAGACGTATCTGTACAGATGACTCCCTAGAAAATGAGCTAGGATACATCCAAAATACGTTGGTCCGTATGGGGTTGTCCTAGTAGATTTGTAAGGAGACACATGAATACCAGGTACAATAAAGAAAAACTGACAACAGTTAAAAAGAAACAACTGTTCATGAAACTGCGATTCAATAGGGACGTGGCTAGCGAAGTCTCACATCAGAGATTATCGAGAGCGATAAAACGGACTTATACTGCCCTCTGTTTGTCATTTTACAGCCGACCAATTTTGATTGCTCAAATGAAAGATAAGCACTTCCATGTGTATCTATAAATTTAGTTGCTCCTTTGGAGAAAGCTATATAGACCGAACAGCTAGACAGCTCAACAAACGCATTAATGAGCATCTTCCTTCATGGTTCGGAAAAGGTCAAAAAACTCCATACGAAGTTCTATTTTGGCTCATTTGATTAATAGTGGTCACCAAGTGGACAGAAGTAGTGCCTTCAAAGTTATCTATCGTATTCCATCGAACCAATCGAACAGAATTCGAGCCTGCCTTTTACACAAAACCGAAGCTATCGGAATTAAATTGAGAGAACAATACTAGTCTTTGCATACAACAAAAGAAGTTTGTTCTACCTTTATCTCTTCCTTGACCCAGGTGAATTCTATTCAAAACCCTCCCACCCTTTCTTATCATCCCTCTCCTTCCTTCGCACTTTTATGATATTTATTTAAACTCTGATTGTCGTTCCATATCACCTTTTGAAATGTGACCTAATTTATTTATTTACTGTAAACACATACACATTCAGTATCTTTGTTATTCTTATCACCATCTGCATAAACCTTATTATTAATATTTTGTTGTCATTATAATCATCGTTCTATAGTTTTGGTTTGTAAGGATTAGTTATGTTTTACGAGTTGATCACGGATTGATATCAGTTAGAGAACCATTGAAAACCAGGGAGTACTGGACAGCTGCTGTTTCATCCTAGTTTGGGAATCATCGGCAGTACGCACCCACTGGGTTTCGAAGCCAGGACCTTCCGGTTACAAGGCAAGCTCGTATACCATTCAGCCACTGGGACCCGATTCAATGGCTCGTGAATTCTAACTTCTACCAATTCGTGATTTAGCGCGACCCCAACCATTGTCGTTGGTGGGACATCCATCCACACACGTGACATCTAATTGGACCTCACTGGTCATGACTTCTCACTAGAACTCAGGAAACTCCAACCTGTAGCAAGTCACTAGCAAGTCGCGCTAAATCACGAATTGGTAGAAGTTAGAATTCACGAGCCATTGAATCGGGTCCCAGTGGCTGAATGGTATACGAGCTTGCCTTGTAACCGGAAGGTCCTGGTTTCGAAACCCAGTGGGTGCGTACTGCCGATGATTCCCAAACTAGGATGAAACAGCAGCTGTCCAGTACTCCCTGGTTTTCAATGGTTCTCTAACTGATATCAATCCGTGATCAACTCGTAAAACATAATCATCGTTATTAATTTCGTTCAAAACATTTACCACATTATTATTATTTGATCAACAAAATCACCGTCATTGTTTAAAAATTTTTATATATAAGTCTAAGTAAATTAGATTAAAGCCTGAAGAAGATCTAATTGAAAATAATATTGTTCGCTTATATGTCTTGTTCTAAAGCAGAAATTCACTGTTTGATTTGGTTGTATTCTCTGATCTGGTTGATTTATTTGCGAAGCTATCATTGTCATTTCTGGAAAATATCTTTAGAGCAAGCTACCACTATGAAGTAGACTTATTTGAATTCTACACGAATGACAGTATATCTTGTATCTTCTGACAACCAAGTGTTGTGATTAGTTGTCTATTTATATTGATCATTGTTTTTTCGATTGATTTCTTGGAATTTGAACTTTTTGTCATGGGATGTATTCTTTATCAGTTAGTAAATTTGATGTATAGTAGTGTGGCTGTTAATTGCTGATTCACAC